TGTGTGTGTGTGTTAGTGTGTATGCATTATGTATATATATATATATATGTGTGTGTATGTGTGTGTGTGTGTGCGTGTGTGTTGGTGTGTGTGTTTGAGTGAATGAGTGAGTGTTAGTGTATGTGTGTGTGATTGCATAATTAAATAACCGTATTAATAGATACTTACACATAACTACATCCAGCAGCAGCTACGCGATCTAATTTGCCAATCGCTTGTGTAGAAGGGAGTTTGGCATATATTTGACTCGTTTTGTCACTGGCAGCATGTAGCTCTGCGCCCTGAGAATCCGCCATGCTTAAGTCGTTATCGTGGTTGTCCGCTTCAAGTGCTTTAGAGTTGTCAGGAGAGTAATATTGGCATTAAGTAGTTCACTATATAAAGAGAGAAATAAAGCATTTCAATAGTTAATTCAATGTTGTCGGTGTTAAAAAAACTACTGCTTTAGTATATTTTTATGTGGCTTTTCATTTTTGTTGTTCTTTTGTAAAAAGAACGATATAAATTTTTTAAAAAGAGCCTAAGGGTGGTTCTAGGTCTCCATTAAAAGTAAATAAAATTAAAGGGTACTTTTGCGACGGTCCTTGGCTCAGTTTTTTTTTTGCCATCCCAGCCGTTGGAATTGAAACCGTAAATTTTGAGAATAAAGCCATCCTAGTGGTTGATGAAATCCAATAAAAATTAGTATACCTATGCCGCTCAAAATATACGAGCAATGCTGGGTCTTTCTATTGGTTGCAATATGGTAGAATATTGAGTCAAAGCATCGTTGTGTGAGCCGTTTTGACATTTTCACATTTTGTAAACATACTTTTTAGTTTTTGTTTGTTATAGTACTAAAGCACAGTACATCATTGCATACATACTTTATGAATCTTCTGTTGGTTGTAGTGTACTATACTATATACAGGAAGTAGTTCATAATAACAATGCCGCTCTTAAAGAACAAGGCGGTAACACACAAGCGACGAGTGATGCTGTCTAAACTTTACTTGCTGCTGAGAGCAATGGAAAGGGATAGAGTGGGTGACGGACTTTCCAGCTTTCAGGTGAAGTGCAATAGGGGGACGCTTGTTGCTCGTACTCGCGCGAACTGGCAAACACTGCGCTCTGCTACAAGCAGAACGCAGCTTTGAGAACACTTTTCGTATGAAGTTCCCAAGGTTTTTGTTTCTTGCACGTGAGATAAACGAAACATGCAGAAGAAACAAAAAGATGGGCATGTTGAGAGAAGGTGCAATAGATGTGGAGGTACAACTTGCTGTCTTCCTGCGTATAGCAGCCGGCGGAAAATACTAAGATATTAAAATTGCGTTTGGGATTTCTTCTGCTGCTGTTTACTACATATTCTGGACAGTTTTATACGCAATTGATGGTTTGAGTTTTCTGTATTTCCGCTTTCCAAAAGAGGAAGAAGAGATTGCCAAAGTAGCAGAAGAGTTCAAATCACACTCTTCTCACGGGGTGATTAGCCGTTGTGTTGCCGTCGCCGATGGCTTATTTGTGTGCGAAGCTTTTCATCCATTAAATAGAGGTCAGTATAGGCGTTGTTTATATTCTGGACATAAGACTGGTTATGGGCTGAATGGCCAAGCCATGTGTGATACAAACTATAAGTTTGTTGTATTTTCTATCATGGCATATGGTAGTATGCATGGTCGTCGAGCTTGGGAATATAGCAGGTTTGACCTGCTAGTGGAGAATTTACCCAAGTTTTACTACGTACTGGGTGATGCAGCCTACAGATGTACCAACCATATGCTTACACCCTATCCTGGCACTCGTGAAGCATTAAGCGATGTATGGGTCGCATACAATTATTTCCAGTCCCAATCTCGAAGATGGGGCCTTCTATGGCAACCCTTACGTTTAGATTTTAAACGCGCTCCAAGAGTTGTTCCAGTTCTAGCTAATCTACATAATTATTCTCTATCAGGAGATGGATATAGACGAACTAATAATCTAGATGCAGGAGCACCGCGTACATATATAAATGGGCGTCTAGGACCACAATTTCGGCATCCCAATCATACTCTCCGGCCTTCGTCCCTTAGAGGCAAAACAGAGCGCGAAGTTATCAAGTAGTACATAGAGAACAAAACATTATGCAGGCCTGATTCAAATCTGGAAAGAAACGAGAATGGAACAAGATAATAAACATTATATATAAACGCGGGTACACACAAACATGTACTCCCGCACACAATCATGTACACCTACACACAAATAGCCAAGTACACACAAACCAATTCAAGTGCAAGTGTGTAGGACCAAAGAAGCCCACACGCACTTGCATTAATCCATGTGTGTTTGGTAGTTTGTGTGTACACGTGTGTGTGTGTGTTTGTACATACATATATATTTATACCAAACACGCACACACAACATACACACCTACGTGTACACCCACACACAAACATGTACACACACACACGTGTCCACGTGGTGGTTTGTGTACACGTGTACACGTCTGTGCACACAACACAAATACATAGGCTTAAAACCAAATGCGCGCGTACTCAGGCAACAACACCTACACACACCCAAACATGTACACCCACACACTGATCGTAAATATTTTTATGTATCACTCAAATAAAGAATTGAAATGTTATCGATGATACCGTCGATCTTTGAATGCATTAGTTTTAGAATGTTGGGTGATATGTGTCCAAATTTTACACCCAACAATGATACAATACAGTCGTT